CCCCAAAACCCCAAAACCCCTTCAGACTATAAATTGGAATGAAGTATGAATAAAATAATTTAAATTTTAGCGAGCTGAATGTTAAAGCCAATGTAAGCACAATATTTCATCTCATTATGTAACTGTAGTCATTCATCATTTGCATACGGAGGTCACGATTTCTCAATCATTCAAGAAGAGTCCCTATCATACGTTGCTGGTAATGCTGTATTGATTTGGAATAGTGGGACTGGTAAAAAGGACTACATATGGTAAGAAATTCAAACCTTTTTTGAATTTAACTAAATTCGTATCTTAGGTCTAAGAGATCCGGGTATTGCGTCTCAACTTCCAACTATAACAGAAACTTGATAGCAGCTGCTGAATATGGACTTAATCCAGAAGTACACATCTACAAGTACCCTGGAAAAGATCTTATTCACAAGTTCAAAGCCGATACTACAATCAGATTGATTGATATGGCCTTTTCAAGAGATGGGCGCTATTTAATAATGATAGGTGGCGTTCCCGACTTCAAAATCTCTATCTATGATCTTGACAATAACAAAAGGTTAAATCTTAGTGGAATCTCATCAGGCACTACATAAACTGAGTGCAAGATTCCTTGCAAACCAGCAGATTACAAGAAAGTCAAGTTTAACCCTCAAAATTCAAAAGAATTTGCCATATTGTCTACTCAAACAGTCTACTTCTTTAAAGTACATCAAGGCTACGAGATAACAGAACAACATGATTAAAAGTTCTTGGGTGAATCAGAGAGGCTCTCTTATATTGAATACAAGAATGAAAACCCAGAGCTTCAATTCTCAAGCTTTATCTGGGACCAATACAAGAGAGTTCATATTTGCTGTGATCTTCCAATGCTCCTTCAAGTTGATTCACAAACTGGAAACCAAGAAAACAGTCTTGCTCTAAATGCTAGAGCTCTAACTTGTCTTTTAACATAAAGACATATGATTATTTCAACTGAGGACTGTATGATTTCATGGTATAGAATAGCTCTGCCTGAAATAGTAATTGGTAATGATGCTAATAGCGATTAAAAACTAACTGTTTCAGAGGATATTGATTAGGAGTACAAATTTGAAAGCAATTCAGCCAACATACAAGCTCAAAATCAACAATCATAATCAGCTTTGGAATCAGGAAACGGTATGACTAATGCATCTATCCAACCAGAGCCAGTTGCATTCATGCATTACACAAGATCATTCAAAAAGCTTATCATGGGAACATAATAGGGTTTAATTGGTATCCTATCAGTAGAAGCTGAAGCAATAAATGAGGACGAAGAGGATGAAGAAAATCAAAACGAAAAGGAGACCAAAGTTATTGTCACTCCATTTGTTGAACTTGGTAGATTCCATACCCAGAAAGTTAATGGTATCAAAGAGCTAGGTGAAACAACACAATTAGTAACAATCAGTGATGATAACAGTCTAGCTATTTGGGAAGCAACACAATTTACTCAGATATCTAGAATTAGCACTTTCTCCAAGCCAGTTGCTCTGGATGTGTCTAAGGATGGTAAAGCTGCATTTGTAGGCTCTGAGAAAGGCATATTTAGAGTTTATGATGTTAGCAACAGAGCTCTTCCAAGACTGATCAAAATTTACAAATTCTTCGACCAAAACATTCCTATCAACTCAATTAAGTCCTCTCCTTGTGGTAAATATGTTATCGTTTCAAGCTAAGAGAATGACAGTATCTTTGTTCTTTCATAATTAGCTGAACATGAATTTGATGTCTATGGCCATTATCATATGGAAGGTTATATAACAAATACTTGTTTCACAGTTCAAGATGGGCAAACTAAAATCTTAGCATTACTCTCAAATGCTCTCTTAGTCGGTTTAACATTACCTGAAAAATTCTCAGATAGAAATAAGATGGATCCTATTTCTGAGGCTGTTGCTAAACCAGTTTACAGAAGAGTTGACAAGGGAATGCATTATGTAATGTCAAATATCTACAATGGAGACATATTTGTAACAGGAGAAGATAGGTACTTGAAGAAGTATGAATACCCAACTGAGCCATTCAATAAGATAGACTTTAAGAAGGCTCCAAATGCCCCACTTGATGAATTAAAGTCGCATGATATTGGAACAACAAGCTGTGATTTTTCGAATGAAGTTAAATTCATGGTTACAGGTGGTAAGGACGGTAATATTATTGTAAGAAACATGAATCACGTGGCATAAAACAATAATGAAATTCAAGGTTCAGAAATCAAGGGTCATGCAGTTTTTGCTCAAGGTATTACTGCACTCACATTTTCAAAAGTAAGATCCACACTTTACACTGCTGGTGGTGATGGTGCATTCTTTGCTTGGACTCTTGGTGGTAAACCCAACCCTAACTAGCCAGTTCAAAACCAAAAGGGAGATTTAGAGCCAATCGATAAGATTGATTAGATTGACGATCTCCGTGAGTTTGAAATCAGGCCTTATAAGGACATTCTTCAGGACTTATTCCACAAGTAGCAGGCATCAAAGAAAGAGAGATTCAGAGAAGAAATTATGTCAGAACTAGAAGTTATCAAGCAAAAATTGAACGAGCTCTTAGACGAAAATGAAAGAGTGACTGACATTGAAAAACTAGAGAGAGACGAGTTTGTCATTGATGTTGAAAAGAGAGATAAAGTCAATGATGAAGGAGAAAAGGTCTGCGAAGATATCAGAAAGGAAGCTGAAAAGACTGTTTTAAGTTATGAACTTTTGAAAGAAAGAGTCCAGCAAACTACTTGGGATAAAATGGATGGCCAAAATAAAGGAATCAAGAGTATCAAAGGCGATATGCTTGTATTCAACTATGGAATAAGAAAGAGAAATCCTGAAGAAATAAGGAGACTCACCTAGATTATTAACTTCAGAAGAAATGAGCTGAGAGAGAAACTTCAAAGAATTGAGGCTAAACTTTAAGAAGTGTTGGATGAATCAGATTTTGCAAAAGTAAAAGAAGGATATGTAATGAATAGACTTGCTGGAAAGCCCTTGTATGAGGATGATCAGTCTATTCAAGAGGCCGCAGCCACATTTGCAGCAAAGGATGCAGAGAAGAAATCTAAGAAAGCCCAAGAGGAAAAGAAACTCTAACAAGCTGGTTAGCAGTAATAGCAAACAGGAAAAAGAGTACCTACTATAAAAATTACTAAGGGCAAATTAGGACAAAAGACCAAAAAGAAGGATCCTGAAGAAGAGCTCAGAAATGCATAAAAAGACAAAATGCAGCAAAGAGAAATCAGAGGAATGGAGGAGATCTATTGGTCAGTTAAATACACACTTAGTGCTCTTGAAGAGATCAAGAAGAAATTAGATCACCCTAATATTTGGGATATCGTCTATGATGCTTTCGAGCTCTATACTGACCCAAGAAAGAGAATGCAAATTGAACTTCTTAGAGAAGTCATCTTCGAGTTGAAGAGAGACTATAACAAGGAGTTTGAATCCCTTGAAAAATTCAAAGAAGACTCTTTGTTCACAATTAAAGAAAAGAATGAAATGATCAAGGAGCTACTTAACAACCTTAAGTAAGAGGAAGAGATATTCGAGCCTTTATCTCATATTTTGGAAAACCCTGACAGCATTTTTGAGGTAAAGGAAGATGACATTCAGGTAGAAAAGTTCTTAACAAAAGAGGAGAGAGCTAAGTTAGATGAAGAGAGAAGAAAGCAGGAGGAGCGTGAAAGAGCACTCTAAGGAGATAACGTTGGTCAAAGAGGTCTAAAATCTATGATGGGAGGTACTGAACTCAACCTCAAGAAAGATTAAAACATGATTCAAACTGAGCTCGTAAGAGAAGATTGGATGAACAAGCCTTACGATGATATGAATGAAGAAGAGAAGCTCAAGCTTAAGGAATTTGAGTTGAAGGAAAAGGAATTCAAGGAAAAGTAAAGAAAAGCTTGGGAACAAGATCTTAAAAAGATAAAGGGAGAAATCATTGAAATCTAACTAAGATTTGAGGAGAGAATTCTGTTGTTATTCAAGAAGAAGCTATTCTTCGATGTGAGAATCATGGAGCAAGAACTCTATATAATTAGATTAACGATCATGCTTCATGACGCAAAAGAGACTGCTGTGGATCAGAGCAAGTACTTAGATGAGAGAGATAAACTTGAGAGAGATTTGAAGGATAAGGAAGAAATGATCTCTACATTCTACAATTTCTAGCAAGATTTAGAAAACTAGCAAAAGAACAACTCAACTATCCCAGAGCAAGAAAAGGAGCTTAAGAGAATGTTCCCAGACGTCAACATTAAACAAATTCTGAACTTTGTAAGATAAGGTAGATCAAAGAAACCAGGCGCTGTATAAGGTGAGCCAAGTGCTAAAGAACAAGAGCTGATGTCAAAGGTTGTTGAATTAGATCCTTTTGCTACAATTGATAAGGAAAAAATAAAGCAATAGCTTAAAGAGGAGGAGGAAAAAGAAACATATGTGTTTGAAAAAGATAGTGTAGCAGGCCTAGGTGAGGAAGACTTCGACAAATTAGTTCAAGAGAGATACAATCGTATTGAAATGGAGAAAGATAGACAAAAAATGGCTAATTAGATTCAATAACTTAAAGATCATGTTGGTTTCTTAGAGCATCTCAGAAATGATAATAATGAAAATTATCAACACAGTTTTGCAGCTCATAAGAAAGCTTCTGACAGAGTTGAAAAGTTAAAGTATAACTTTGAAATAGTTGTTTACCTTAAGCAAGGCCAGGTAGAAGTGCCTTAACTTCCAGTAGCTACAGACTACAAAGATGCTATCCTCATTAAGAGAGAGGTCATCGAGGACGAAAATAAGGAAATTGTGAAGAGAGGAGACGCAAAGGTGAAGATGATGAATTCTATCAGTGAGTTCAAAACTGGACTCAAGAGAGTTAGATATTAAAAGAAAAAGCTAGATATGGAGATACTTGACTTTGAAGAACGTGCTAAGGATGTTTAACTTTATAGAGTGACTAAGCAAACTTAGGAAATTATCCAAGGAAAACATCAAAAGAAGGATGAAGAAGATAAGAAAAGACTTGAGAACTAGATTAGATAATTAGATGAAAATGCCTAAAAGCGTATCAAGACCATTAATGAGACAAAGAAGAAACTTAAAAAAGAAATTTCAGATAAGCTCAAGGAAAATGAGCAGCTTGAGACCAAAGCTCGTCAGTTACAGCAGAATGTCGACTAAAGAAAGCAAATTATGGGATTAAAATCTAAGACAAGCACAGATGGCGTTGCTGATCCAACTAAGAAGATCAAAGAGATAGCTCATAAGAGAAAGCTTATGGATATAGTCAAATAGCAAACTGAAGAAATTGAGTACTTAAGGGATGAACTCGATAGACTCAGAGCTAGGACTTTCCCATCTTTCGCTCATCTTCATAACAAACCTGATTTCCCTGACGAGGCATGATTATTATAATGACCTCCATTATTAACAAGCACCAAAACCATTCTTAATTTCATAATTGATTATACCACACAAATGATTTGAATACTTTTTCAGGGGTTTTGGGGTTTTGGGG